TTTTCTAACTTAACAGTGTACACCATCAGAGGGCCCCCTCTTAGTATTTTCAGGGGGAGATTTTCTTTAATTCCCAATTATGTACTTGTAAGTTTTGTACATACGTAAACCTGGCTGGGGCATTAGTTGGAGGCTGGCAGTCTGTTGTTCCTTTTGTTTGTTTTGAAAGCTTTATTCCCAGTCTAAGGCCAGTTTGTCACAGTAAAAGCACTAGTGACGACAGCGTGGTGGGCCAGTGTGCCGCCTGAGGGCTTAGCGCCTCTAGGTTTTCCCATCGACTCAGCTCCCTCTTACGTGTCTCGGTTTCTCCCTCTGGTGGAATAAGACCGCCATGGCTGCTCAGATCACGGAATAGCCAGCTCCGAGTCACGTCCCGGCAGAGGGAGCTTTAATTAATGAGTGGGTTTCCCTGCAGGGACAGCTGCACGGCATGAGGTCTTTGTCTCCACCACAGCTGCAGGTTTCTCAGTCGCCTGGAAAAGCCACTGCCGGCCAGGAGGAGAATCCTGTCTTTGGAACTGAAAAGCTCTCATAAGATTTCAGTCTTATTTCAACAAGCGCTCTCTTTTTATTTTTTATTTTTAAACTGAAGTACCCTCAGTTACAACGTGTCAAATTCTGGTGTACAGCACAGTATCCCAGTCTTGCATATACATACATATATTCGTTTTCATGAAAGGTTATTACAAGTTATTGAACATAGTTCCCTGTGTTATAAAGAAGAAACTTTTTAAAATCTATTTTTATACATAGTGGCCAACATTTGTAAATCTCAAACTCCCAAATTTATCCCTTCCCAACTGCTGTTCCCCAGTAACCATAAGATTGTTTACTATGTCTGTGAGTCTGTTTCTGTTTTGTGGATGAGTTTATAGTGTCCTTTTTCTTTTTTTTTTAGATTCCACATATGAGTGATATCATGTGGTATTTTTCTTTCTCTTTCTGGCTTACTTCACTTAGAATGATGATCTCCAGGTCCATCCATGTTGCTGCAAATGGCATTATTTTATTCTTTTTTATGACTGAGTAGTATTCCATTGTATACCTACACCACATTTTCCTTATGCAGTCATCTGTCTGAGGACATTTAGGTTGCTTCACATCTTGGCTATTGTATATAGTGCTCAATCCCACTTCTGGATATATATCCAGAGGGAACTCTAGTTTGAAAAGATACACACACCCCAGTATTTGACAAATTCTATTACGGTACCAATTCAAGGAAAAACAACAGGCCAGTCTTCCCCCTAGTTACCCAGTTCAGCCCTACTCAGTGTTCAAAGTCTTCCCAGTCTTTCGACTGAGGATGAAACCACTCAGTGTCTAACCTGCGCAGAATCTTCCCAGTGCCTTTCACTGAGGATAACCTTCTTGAAACCAAGTTTAAAGGGTAACCTACTCCTCCAGAGAGGAGTTTTAACACCACTGAATAACACTTAGGATGGTCAACACATAACGGGAGATCCAAAAACCAGGAGAGACTCACCAAATTCGCCTGGACTCTCCCAGGATGCAAATGGGCCCAAGAGGCCTCTGCCAATACCAAGGCTCCCAATCTCGGAGAGTCCAGGCAAAGGGGAGAAGTCTGCTCTGAGTCCCTTCATATTTGGTTGCCAAAACTGTCAACTGAAAAAAAAAAAAGGCACAACCTATAAATTGAGAATTGTGTTTTATTTGGTGGACTTTCTGAGGGCTTCAAGCCAGGAGGCAACCTCTCAGATAAGTCTAAGAGACTGCTCTGCAGAGGCAAAGGAGGAGCCAAGATATATAGTTTTTGCAACAAAGATGGGTAATTGGAACTTCAAAAGGTTAATGTTAATGAAAGAAAATCAGATATCTCAAGTTAAGGAATTTAGCACTTTTCTTTGTATGGAAAGTTGCAAAAGCCTGGGCTCACTGAAACCATTCCTTTGATGTGCACCTTAACCACCTAGGGCCAGTGTCCTGTGCGTCCCTTCCTGTCCCCTAAGGGGGCAGCTCAGGGAGGGGGAGCTGAGCTGCAGTGACTGACGTCTTGATAGAGGTACCATCGGGGCAGTTACAATGAGATAGCTTGATAGCTGCAGCATCCTTTGTCACTGATATGGCAGGCACTGTCTTTCATTCACACATGGGTTAGGACTTTGAGGACTTGCTTAGGGCCATATGACATTTATTAAGATATTCTTTGGCACATGACATTGCATGAGATAAAATATGAGAAAACTCAATATATATACAAGTGAAGTTTCATGTAGGGAAAACTTGTAGAAATAATATGTTTTAAAATAATAGATAAAGTCAAAAGGTAATAGTATATTTTATGAGTTTTGACTTGAGTATGAATGATTTTTTTGTGTTTCTTTTCCTTGTTCTGAAAATGAGACCTTTCTCTAAGTTGACTTCTAGTGATGCAGGAAAACAGATGTGGGGCGTGAGAAGGGCCATGTCCCAGGCTTCAGTTGAGCCCCTGGGACGTGCCCCGCCAAGTGTGGGTCCTTGGCTTCGTGCAGGAAAAATTTCAAGAGCAAGCCACAGTTGAGTGAAGGTAGATTTATTCAGAGAGATACATTGAAAGGCAGGAGAAAGGCCACAAGGTGTGGGGGTCGGGTGCTGAGATTAAAAGTAGGCACACATTCCATAGACAGAGTGTTGGCCATCTCTGAAGAGGGAGAGAGAGGGGCGGGCCCCGAGGCTCCGTGTTGCTGGTTCTTACAGGCTTGGTGGCTTCATATGCTAATAAGTCAAAGGACCAGTCTAAGTAGCCTGGGGAAGGGGCTGGGATTCCCAGGAAGTTGGCCATTTCCCACTCTGACTTTTTGTGGCTAGCCTCCGGACTCCCAAGGTGCCTGTGGGCGTGTTATTCACCGTGGCAATATATTACAATGAGCGTATAATGAAGCTCAAGGTCTACTAGAAGTTAAATCTCCCATCATCTTGAGCCTCAAGGCCTCCTGGGGGTGGAATCTTTCACCATTTTGATGTTAATTGTGTGGCCTTCCTTGAATGGCTGTGTCCTGCCCCCGTCCATCCTGTCTCACTAGCATTTCCCTCATACTTTTCCTGTCAGTCTCTCAGTATATCAGCTGAGAAATACAGAAATACTGGATTATTAGCTAATGAATTCCAACATCAGAGAACTTTGGATTCACTGTAGGAGTTTCCATAAGGGCTAGGCTCTGCACAAATGTGAAGATTTGTAGTCTAAAAATGATAACTCCATATGTGAAGTTGCTATCTTTTTTGGGTTTTATGTATTTTGTTACATTATTTTTAGCCATATTATGTCTAGTGAAAATCATTTGTTAAATCCCCTTGAATTAGCTTTTGGAATACAGCCAGGCTTAGCTGGGCTGTGCTTTTACTACTTTGAAACATTAAACAGCTGTGATGTGTTTGCCTTACATGGTCTAAAGAGTTAAAGTATTTGATTGTAAATCTCAGATTCTTAGATTTATATTTGAGACCTAATTTTTTTGGAGATTGAGAAAGCAGAATATTATTAGGCTAGAAGTATTACATTCTAGTTGGGATGGTATTTTTTTGGTGAACCTGGGCTCCGTTTCTGGCTCCAAATAGAAATGCTAAGTTATTTTAGTTAGATTTCTCACCCCTCCTGTGCTTCAGTTTCAGATTTGGCTTTCTTAATTCTTTCTTGGGTTTTTGCCAGTCAACTAGAAAATGTCTCATGTACTTTAAGCTTTGAGAAAAAAGACAGTATAAAATACCTCAGTTATCCAAATACATTTAACCAGTTTATGACCAGCCACTCTGATTTTCCTCCCAGAAATCTTTAATCCCGCAACAGCTTCACTGACTCCTTAGCACGCGTTTGATCAGGGCAAACTCACCTCATTCTGGCTAATCTGTACCTAGCTACTGCAGAGTGCTTTTGGGTAACCTACGCCTAAACTAAGTAATAAAACCACACGGACTCCAAAATTCAGTGTCTCCCAGGATGCAAGATGCATTTAAGAACATATTCCCAGTTTTTGATTATCCATTCCACTTCTTCCTTGTGTAAGTGTGGGCACTTTGTATATTAAGGAGGGATTTTTAAGCATTCATCTCTGCTACTCTCAGTACCACAATCAAAGAATTATCCTTTGATTATAACAATTTAAAGTCACAACAGGAAATGCATCTGTTATTTCCACTTTAAGTCTCTCAGCTGAATGATTAGATTTAACTTTCTTCAAAATTCTTTAGATAAATTGGCAGATAATGTGCTTTAGTGTAAAACCAGGATGTGGCAATAACACGAGTGATTTGCCCATTTCTCTGGTGTTAAACAGATTTTTCAAATTCATTCAGGTGAGTCATGAAAGAGACAGGCTATCATTTCCCTTTGACCTTTGGGCCCTATTCATGGGATTTTGTATTTGTGGAGCAAGTGAAAGCTTTAACACTTGACACGTGCCCCATTGAAATGCCTGACCTTGGTCTTGGCAGTGGGACAAGTGTGTGCACTGAAGGCAGAGCCCCACTCCCTCTGCCTGTGTGGCCATGAACACCAGTCTGCAGACGGTTACTGTTGTCTGAGAAAAAAAAGCCGGGCTGCGCCAACAAGAGAACTCATAAATCTAAGTGTAATAAGTGACAGTTTACTGATCTAAGTTCTACTGGGCTCTCGTAAATCTGAAGTTTAGTGTCAATTTACTGGGCTAACAAGCTAACTCGTAAATCCAGGCTCAACAAGTGTCAGTAACGTGATCTGTTCCTACTAGATAAGCCCCAGTGTACTGATTCCCTGGTTTTGCTGTTCGAGCCTTATTGGCTAATAGCCCCTTACTTGTAATTAACCCTATAAAACCCCATGCACACGTCTTGGAGGTGCTCAGAGCTTCGGAGCAGAAGCCCCTGTGAGCCGACCGGCATAATAAATCTGAGTACTCCAACCCTCCGAGTGGTGCTTGTTTCTTGCTGGCCTGTCATTTACGTAAGAGTTCAAGATGGTCAAACACCTTTTCACAGCTGGCTTATGGCAATTTATATTCTTTCTTTTGTCTTTTTTTGCACAGCTGTTGTGAACTTGGACAATTCTGTGGTTGACCTGGAGACCCTTCAAGCTCTCTATGAGAATGTGAGTAATAGGGAATTGTACGTGTGAGTATATAATACACGCACAGTGCTTGTCAACGTGCGCATCTAGGCTGGCTGCCTGAGTGTACTCTGAGGATATTTGATACGGGTGCATTGAATTTACATGAGTCTAGGCTTCTTGAAATACTTCCTAGGAACATATTGAAAAAATGTGTGGTCTTATAGTTTTAAAATTTGTGATTCAAAACATGTTGTATGTGAAGTGTTTCACATTCTCTCCTTTGAAATAGAATCAATAATTATGTGGAGGTTAGGGGGGTAGACCTCAGGGGTAGAGCGCATGCTTAGCATGCACGAGGTCCTGGGTTCAATCCCCAGTACCTCCATTAAAAAATAGATAAATAAATAAACCTAATTACCTCTCCCCATAAAAACAAACAAACAAATATGTGGAGGTTAATTTGAGGAAAGCACTGTATTATGCACTGATTCATTTAATCTTCACATGAAAACCATAGGTAGCCCCTGCTATTGCTGCATTTTACAGATGAGGAAACTGAGGCATGGAGAGTCCAAATGACCTGCTCAGGGTCACGCAGGTCATGTGCTGTAGCTGGGATTTAATTCATTCTGACTCTGTCTCTCGAATCTTCACTGAGTGGCAGGACATCATGGCTTTCTTCTAGTAGCACTGTTTCTTAAGAAGTTGGCAGGAAAGGGGAATGAGGTGCCAGAGGAGAATGACCAGAACGTGGTGCAGTCTGGGCAGTGATACATGAAATGGCTTCCGCTGGGACATGGCAATAAATAACACTGATTCACATAGCAAGGAAGCGATCTTCTTTTTAGTGTTTTTGATTATGTTTTTGATTAAGTCTCAGCATGCCCCTATTCTGTCACTAGTATTTTTTCATTAGAATTAGAAAAATACTATTTTTTCATTTTGTGCTCTTTGGGCGTGGTCTGAGTTGGTCCTTGCCTTTTCTGTGCCAAATCAGATGACTCCTGGCTCGAGGAGACACAAGGTACATAGGATTCTCTCTTCCCTGACCACTCCCTGAGGACATATGTTTGACCTGCTTGTCCATTCTTGGATTTGATACTTTTAAAGCATATGTATACGGGGCACCCCTGTGAGATTGATGCATTTGTAAGAGCAAATATTTCTCATGGTGCCGTCAAATCTGTGGGTGAGTGTGGAGTGGGTGCCTGGTCCACACTGTGAGGCCAGGCACCCCAGCATTAATGAGGACTGAGAGGGAAAGCTTGAATGTTTTATGATGTAGTTGTCACTACATGATGGAGAGCTGGGAAAAACTTAACCATTTGGAGGCACAGAGATTTTTTATTTTCCTTGAGTCTTTCCTGCCTCTCTCAACCGGAAGAGCCATATGGAAGAAATGAGGAAATAGCAGGGAAAGTAATTTCTTCAAGCAGGTCGTAATGATGTAAGATGTCAGTGTATGCATGACTATTTACCTATTTACCATATACTTACATATATTCATTTATGTATGTACATAATATTTGTGTGTATATTATATAAAGAGAGATGAACATTTTATTTGAAGCTGGTATATCCATGTGCATAAATATATACAGAAAAAATTAAGAACACTGTGGACAACTATTTGTGGGGAAGTTTATTTTGCAGTGGTTTAGAATATTTTATTTGGGAGTTTTTGACCTTTCAAAGTAAATTAATTTCACGAAATATAAATTTCTGACTCTAGGCAAACTAGACAGCTACCCAGAATTTCTTACCTAGATTCTCTGTGAAAGTAGAACAAGTGCTCTCTGTCACTGGTTTAATCTGTTGTCTTTTTTTTATTGTTGATGTTGTTGAAGTTGATGGTTCCGACTTCCACTGTGCCAGGAAAACAATGACTGTTTTGGCAGGAATGGTTCATAGTAATACTAGTTCAGGGAGTAACAGGCTAGATTTTTTTGGTAGCCATCTTCAGTAGAAGAACTTACAGCATCGATGATGAATAGTAGATAATTATATGTATCTTACATACAAATAGAATTCATGCTAATTCCTGATTAGCATCCATTAAAATACAAGCCCAGTGAAGGCAGAAGTATTTGTTTTACCCATGGAACTATCCCCAGCACTTAGATTTAAGTAATACTGGGCATATAGGAAGGATTCAGCAAATGGTAAATATATATATATGAATTAATGAGTGGAGTCTGCTGATAGGCATGTTTAGCATGATGTTTTGTATATAATATTCATAATAATTACTAATTAATTAAAGAATGACCTGAGAATTGCACTGTTTTTCCTCTTGGTATGGTTTTATCAATGAAAGAGATGAACATTGTAAATATCACTATTTCAAATGCTGTACATTTTTGGCAGGTCAGTATAAAAAGTAATGTTGCTTTTGTAAATATAATTTCAGAAATACTTCTTCAAAGATTCAAAAGTGATAACCATGTGATGAAAGTTTTATCATTACTATCCTAGAAGAGGTTCATCAGATTTTTCTGTGATTTTTTTCAAATAATATTTTAAATTCAATTTGTGGCATTTTGTTTTAGGGCAAACTAAATTCATGTATTTTCTTCCTGTTGATACAATTTCAGACTATTGCCTCAAGAGCTCTTGGAGCTGCTAGACAAAGTGTTTCCTTTTCCCAGATTACTTTTAGCCTTTTGAATGTCCAGAGGGCTGACCAGATGCTTGAGATTTCTCTTCTCAGTTGATAATACATACTTCATTGAACCCAAGGTGATCCCAAGACTGTGGAACCAGTTGTTTATTTTTTAGTGCACAATACAGAACAAATTTCTGCGTGTTTTTCAGTTGTTGATAGCCTATATGTTTACCCATGACTGATAAAAAGAAGGCAGCCCGCGGTACGAGTGCACATCTGTGGTGTGCCTCGTCAGGAGCCTTTCCCACGTCCCGCAGTTCCAAGACGTCACAGCTGTATCAGAGCTAGATTAAAATAGGCCAGTTTCATCTCAGCCTGAGATGAAGATGCTTTTACTTACTCTGTCCCTCCTCTCCCACTCACACCACACAAGGCACAGCAGAAGAACGTGTGGTTCCAACTACATGAAACCAGTATGTTTACTAATCCCAAGGGGTCTGGGATTCTAACTGCCATTCTCATTGACTATATCAGATGGGGGCAGTCCAGCAACCCAGTCTAACTATAGTAGAGGTTTTGTATTTTCTGTGTGCTCTTGAATGTGTGGAATGAATGAATAAATGATGCATGAGCTCTTAGAAACAGGCTCAGCACAGTAAAACCTTCAGGCTGCTTGTGACTCCACTTCCTTTCCCTGACACGCTCCCAGCTCACAGGCACATGCAGAGGAAGTCATCTGGGTCACACTTCCCAGTTTTCCTTCTTTTACCACCACCACCTTCTCTTTATCTAAGAAATTCTAAGAATATCTTTGTGCCCTCCAGCCACTGAGCTCTTCTCCTTCTGCACTTGTTTCTTTCCCTACTTTTCCATTTTGAAAGCATGCTCAGATATCCCGCAAACCGGAAGAAAAACAGAAATAACGTGCCTCCTTTCCTTCATTATTTCTTACATATGAAAACGTTTACAGAACGCTCACCACGTCAGTCACCGGGCTGAGAGCTAGCGCGAGGCCTCTGCGCTTCGTCCCCCGCAGCCTAGAGTGAGGCGGGAAGCCCTATAAAAAGACCGGCAGGACCCCTAGGCAGGGCCGCTGCTCTCCTCCCAGCACCGGCTGGTTCCCTGGCCCAGAGGCTCTATCTCACTTTTTGCCTCTAAAGCCGCTAACTTACATCTAGAATTCTATTGGTTCCCTGAGCTCACTTCTGATTGGTTCTTTCACTCCTGATTGGTTATTACTCTCACTTCTGATTGGTCCACTTTCCTAACTTATGATTGGTCCATTTGTAGTACATTTGCGTGGAGCTCACTCCTGATTGGTCTATTTCTACAAAGCTAGTTCCTGGTTGGTCAACTTCTGTTGTACTTTATTTGCATATGATGTTGCAAAGCGTAAAACTGGCAGCCTATAGAAGGCCTGTGTAAACCTAGAGACAGGGTCTGAAGCTTGAAGTGAACTCCTGTGGGCGTGCTAGTGTGATAAACCTGAGTTCTTCAACTCTCCGAGTGCTGCTGGGTCTCTTACTGGGACCCAGGCTGCTGTAACAACTGAGCTGTAACACATTTTTCCGCAACAAGAGGAGGTGCGGGGGAAATGTCAAGTGTCCGCCTACCCCAGTCCAGGCACGCACAGGCTCAGAAGGGGAGAAGGAAAGATGGAAAAGATAGAATCAACAAAGCATCACTGAGGAGGGGACATTGGGAGTGAAAGCAGGAGTTACCCAAGAAGTAAAGGTATCCTAAGCAGAAAATGGTGAGTTCTAAGATTTGGAAGCACAAAAGAAGAGTTGGCCAATGTAGAGAAGGAAGTGCATGTAAGTGAGCTTCGGAAAGAATGGGCGTGAGGAGAGGATATGGAAGCGGCAGTGGCTAGAGGTAACTATTCTAGGGCATTTTAAGAAAATTATGAAATTTTAAAAATTTCCCTTAAATTCTGTCCATTTTTGCTTCATGTGTTTTCAGGCTTTCTAGTAGGCTCATACGCATTTAGAATTTTGTCTGTTGAATGTTGCTTTTATTCTAAGAAAATATTTTTTCTTAGTCTGGTAATTCTGTATCTTGAAGTTTATTTTTACTGATAATTGGGATAGCCATTCCATTCTTCTGATACTTGCAGTTTACATGGTTTTTCTTACTCTGTTGATGATCTTCCAATTTCCCTGTATCTTTGTTAGAGCTGCCTCTTTTGTAGACAGTATATATGTGGATCTTTCTTATCCACTGTGATAACCCCTTCTTTCTTGGAGCATTGATAATAGTACTTCTTGAAGATTGTTAACATTTAATGTAATTGGTATGTATTGGTTGGATTTACGTCTGTAATTTTTTGTCCTTTAGCTTTTTGTTCTTTTATTTTCCCTCTTCTGCCTAATTTTGGATTAAATGTTTTTCCCTTTGTTTCTCATTTTATTTCTATTTTTTTTAACTATACCAC